CTGTGACGGGGTGGGGGAGGGTTACCCTTTAATTAAAGGGGCAGAATGAAAAGGTGTCGGCCCAGGTGTAAATGGCGGATGGGTATCTAAGGCCCTGTCCCTTTTATGGGGGTGGGTTTGGTGGGGGGGTAAATCCCTCCCCCTCTGTCCCTTTGCCGCTCCCAGCCCCCTCCCCTAGATCCCAGGCTCACTCACCCCCGGGACGGCCCGGTACCGGATCCTCCGCCCATCGCCTGCCGCCACCGCCGCCGCCGCCATTTTAAAATCAACAACAACAACCCGCGGGCCGCGGGGACTGAGGGGGGGAAGGCCCGCCCCTTCCCGCACGTGCGGGAACCCACCCACCAGACACGGCACCTCCATTGGGTGGCCGACATGTCCGTCAGCGCGGCCACGGCGCCCATTGGGCCGGTGCCCTGTCCGTTAGTGGCGACGCTGCCTCCCATTGGAGACGGCTGCTCACGCCCCTTCCCCAATTGGGCGTACCACCACTCCAGCTCCAGCGTCGCCATTGGCTGCACGACCAGTCCGTCAGTACAGTCGCGACACCCCCATTGGTAGATCGCCCCGTCGGTTAGGGCCCGCGCTATCACCTCCCCATTGGTGGGAGCTTCACCCGCCTCTTCCCTCAGTTGGGCGGGGCGTCCTACACAGACTGCTTCGCCCATTGGCCAGAGGAACTGCCAGTCAATACGCCTCCGCCTTCTATTGGTCTGCAAGCCCATCGGTTCGTGCAGTCACTCCCCACCCATTGGAGAGGATGGCATCCGCTACTTCCCCCACATGGCCGTCCGCCCCTTCATAATCGTCATCACTATTGGCTTGCTGAAACGTCCGTCACGGCGATCTCGGCTCCTATTGGTCGAGCGCCCTCTCAGTTACCGTCCACGAATCACCTATTGGTGGGGGTATCATCCCCCATTTCCTCACACGTGCGTCCCGCCCTCAGCTTCCCCAAATGGTTCCGCGATCTGTCGGTCACTGTCGGGTAGGGCCTACGCTCACAACCCCTGGAAGGGCGGCAAACGCCCCTGCCCACACAGAGGCGTCCCGCCCCACACCGACCCTATGCTTCCTCAATAGGCTACCCCACCTGCCGGTCGCTGAAGACTTGCCTCCTATTGGTCCGAAGCCCTGCCACTCGAGTGGAAGGTAGCCGCCCTCTCCCACACATCGGTGTCCCGCCCCCTTTACATGCATGTCTAATGACTACGTTACAGTCCCTCACTGGTCCCTCACAGCCTATTGGTCTGCTGTCCTGTCGGTTAGGGAGATCCCTATCCCCTAATGGACGGGACCGACGTTTAATGGGCGTCCCGCCCCCTGGATCTGCACCTCCATTGGCTGCCGCACCGGCCGCCGTCACTACTGTCTCTCCTCCTAATGGTTGGCTGACCTGTCGGTTATGACCCTCCTGCTCCGCCCAACCTGGGGGCAGGTGTCGGCGCTGTCTATCACCCGCCCCTTCCTTCTCCAATGGTCGCTGCAACTGCCCGTCATTGTGGCCTCTCCTCTTATTGGTCAGCTAAACTGTCGGTTGGCGCGTGGTGGCTGTCCGCTCCGCCCCCACGTTGGCGGCGTCTGCACGTTCATCCCGCCCCCTTTATTTGATTGTCCATTGGATACTTCCTCTGTCATTTAGAGCGGCATCCTCTCCCAATGGACCTCCGCCCCACCGGGTAGGGCGGGAACCGTCTACCTCCCGCCCCCTATATCTAATTGTCTATTGGTTGGACCATCTGCCTTTCGGTGTGGGACCACTATCCAATTGGTCCGATAGACTGTCGATCAACGTCCACCGTACTCCGCTTCGACGTGCCCCTGAGGGTTAACCCCGCCCACCCAGCTGCTATTGGCTAGAGGAACTGTCACTCAGAGCTGACTAATCTCCCAATGGTTGGCTAACGTGTATTTTCCCCTATTTGACAGAACTAGCCCGGCCCACCACGGGGACGCATCCCATTGGGTCGCTGACCTGTCAGTCGGAACAGCCGCCTGCCCCCAATTGGTTCGTCGCCCAGTTGGTCAGGTCACTGTCCACGCATTGGACAAGACCCAGGGGTCATAAATGTGCCCTGTACGTTTAACGGCATTCCATTGACTACAGGACATGTCATTCAAAATGTCCTCGTGTCCCATTGGAGCGCGTTCTTCGGGACTGGAGTACCGTCGCATCATCTCTATTGGACAGAACAGCCAGATCCAACATTCTCACATAAGGGTACTGGCACTCTATTGGTGGTGATGGCTACAGTTCATAGTCGGCCATTTCCAATTGGTCCGTGAATCTACGAGCCTCCATAACCCATTGGATGGTACCTCAG